ATTCGCTTGCTGCACTTGTCTGGCACAAAGGTTTTAAGTCAACTCTGAAGCTCTTAAAGGGCACGTTAAATGAACAATGGCAGACAACTGTGCATTTATTGGCAGTTCCAGTATCACAGTGTGTAATGAGCGGTTGTCTTAGCTGCTTCACCATGATCTGTACCACAAGTTGCCAGTCAATCTCTACTCTGGCACCTGGAGCACTTCCTCCTTCTCCTTCTTCAGTGACCTTGGTGCCTGCAAGGCTCTTTCTCTCACATATTCTCGTTTCTCTCTCAATCTGCACCTGTGGTGTTTGGGGTTTTTTTACCACTTCTTAAATACCTTATCCCAGAGGTGCTACCATTGTTGTTGGGCTTGGCCTTGGACAGTGGTGGGTCTGTCTTGGAGCCAGCTGGCATTGGCTCTGTCGGACACAGGGGAAGCTTCTGGCAGATTTTTACAGCAACTATCCCTGTAGTCCCCCAACTACTATGGGATTGACATGTAAATCCAATACAAACTTAAATTTACATTTCAGGGGGCACAAAAATGTACTCCTTTTTTTTGTTGTGATTGCTGTGTGTCTAAAACTGACCACTGACTACTATTTTCAGTTTCTTAAGCTTTGTTGAATCCTCCTTAAACATTTTACTAACTATAGAATGATAAAGTAATTAATTTTAAGAAAGGAAACAAATACTGAGACTCTGATAGGAATAATATAATTATCGTCCAAATGACAGCAAGAGCTATAACTTTTTTCCTTTTTATTAGTCAGCCTGGCTCACTGCTACTTCATGAGAAAATGTATTGCAGATAATGCTACGACATACAATCTGATACAGGTCTCCAGACAGCTATTTCTGCTCAGAAATTAACTCAGATTAATGTGGCGATAAGTGTTGGAGCTCAGTTACATGTTTTAGCTGATTAAAGACTGAGTGAAATGCCATAGAAGAGACAGTAACATTTGTTAACAAGAACACACTAATGATTTGGCTGTACTGATTGACCCCTGAAGAGGTTAAAAAGCTAGAGCTTTTGGCAAACTAGTAAATATGTCAAATCTGGGTTATTCTTTATCTTGCTTAAAAGAAAGAAACCATATTTCATCTCATCAATAATTATGAGGAAAAAAGTAATTGATTATTCCATGTTTTTCCTAAAATTACTCAGAATTTTTATGTGTTGTAATCCTTGTTCTTATATTTTTCTATCTAGGTTAATAAATTTCATTTTCTTGTGTTTCTTATAGTTGTCTCCTTCTAATAACTTTGAGCCCTGCTGAAGCAATATAAACCAATTTAACAGAGGAAAAGCAGTCTCAGGGCTACATCATATATTGCGTCAGGCATATAATTTGCATATATCAATTAAAACTGTTGTATATAATGAGTTGGCGATCTTTCTCAAAAAGAAATGCAAATTCAACATAAAATTAAATATAGTTCTTAAATTAAAATTCTCTCTTTTTAAATCTGAATTAAGGTCATAATTTGCCTAAAATAATTTTACTTAAGAAGCATATCCTTGGACTCACTGTCTTATCCTGTCCACGTGATCAAGTAAGTTACTATCTTTCCTTCTTAAAGCTCAACTTAATTTCATTAGATTTAGCTAGCAGAAGAGTCCAAGTCACTCATGATTCTGAATATTACCTTATACACAGATTAAATCTTAAAATAATGAATATTTGATTAGTAAGACCTTGATCTGGATGCTATGAATATTCAATCTATCCAGTTTTAAGAAAGGAAATTTTGGCCAAATTTCAAGAAAGAGTTTCTGGCTGTGTTCTCTCCTCATTGGTCTTGTGATCAAACCTTTTTTTCACTGAAGAGTTTTGCAGCTTTTAGCCTATTAAAATCAATAAATTTGGGTCCATATCATTATGTTAATTCCAACATATGTGGGACTATACAAATTCTTAATGAAATAATCATTGAAGTCTATGAGTCATTTTGTCCATCAAAGAAATTTTTTTCATGTTTGCAGACCTTTTTATTAATGACAATCGCCTTTCAACACCAAAAGATTGGAAAAAAGGAAACATTATCCATCCTTTTCCCTAAGTATGATGCTACCATAAAATGTTGGAAATTTGACTTTGAAAAATGTGAGACAGAAATGTATGAGGTATTTTTATAGTTATTCTAAAATGGAAGGATGGTAAGAGAATGATACTAAAGCAGAGAATCAGACGATGCCATTTCTTTGCACTGATTAGCAGCCATAAAAGTTACGTGACTATTTGTGCAACGGTCCAAGGGGGGAGGGGAAATGGGACCATGACACAGCACGGATGGGTCCAGAGTCAAGGTAGAGGTGCAAATGGAATGCTTTATTGAGGTGTGCAGGGGTTTTATAAGTTCAGGCGGGGAAAGGGCTAGAACATGGGGTGGAGCATGAGACAGACAATCAGGGGAACAAATCGGGGTAGGGACACAGGCGAAGGGGGAGGAACGTGGGATGAACTGGGGAAGGAAAGGGCGAATGGTAACTGTCTCCTCTCTGCAACTTCTTCAGCCTATCAGAGAGGGAAGCAGGGAAGCGGGCATGCCAGGGCATGCCCAGGAAATACAAATCCCAGGGAAACACACAATGTGTATGTTTATAAACACATAAGAACTGTATAGCCCGTATCATAAAGTCCTTTCAATCACTGTATATCTTTTTTCATTCCTGAAATTGCTCCCATTCTGATTCCTGGTCCTCCACAATTTGGACCTATTTTCCCATTATATAAAACAGGGATTTCAGTTTAATTCATAAGATTATTTAAACGATCAACTCCTTGTGAACTTAAATCATGTTCTTGATGAATGTTACATAAGTTTATGGAAGACATTACCTAAAACTGGGATAGTTCAGACATCTGACATGTGTTTGCATTCAGAACAAATTTTGGGTCGTCTTTCAAAAATACATTTTAGAGCAAAAGGAAAAATAAGTCAGTGTGTGGAAAAAAGACCTGATTTTCCAAGGTTAAAGACACAAAAAATAGTTGAGAAAGTCAATTCTGCAAGACAAAATGAACTATGCTTTTTATTATGATGATGATTCCACTGTTAGTACAGAACATTTCAGTCACTCTGCTGAAGTGGGAGTCTCATTTTACTTCAGAGTTTTGATTTGCTTTAAAGGAGGACACTTCACACTTTGGTAAAATAATATCAGCCAAAATACATCTTACTGTGTCTGTCTACAGTGGATGTTATTCATTCTGTCAAAGCCGGTAGAAAATCTGTATCCTTATCCCGTATAATAGAAAACAATTTTTAAAAGAGCACTGATCTTTCTTGCTATATGTGACTTGCTTCTAGCAAACTATAAATTCAGTTCCAGACTCCACAAGTCCGATCTTACGTTCTGGCCTTTGTCTTATATTGTAATTCCTCTTAGACAAACTGGGAAAACTTCTGCAGAACTCATGTAAGCAAATGAGTTTACAATTGAAGATCATTTTCAGTGATTTTTCATAAATGGAATGCCATAATGTTACTGCTGCTTAATTATGATTTGATTTTGTGAAAATTATATATTGAGAAAATATAATTTTCTGACTAAATTCTCAACAATTCAAAAGTTTTCCGGTACTTATCTCCTGTTACTGGAAAGACATCAACTGGGCAGATAAAAAGACCACACACCCTTCAGAGAAGAAATGATACAACTTTTTCTGCTGTCCGCAATGGCCCTGAGCAGCAGTCTATGTTTTGTAACTAATAGAAGTAATGAAAAAAAGCTGGATATGCTTACATTAAAGTAAAACTGTATTTCTAATGAACACCTTTTATCTAAATTGCAGGTACACAAAAACAGAAATGAAGCTGTTCTGAATATTCACCCTTAAGGTGAATCATTTGCTGGGTACTGAAATCCTCTGCAGTAAACTCAAAAAACACCCTGCACCAGCAGAGTGAAGACCAATTTGAAGCATGCTTCATAGCTCTTAGCTATGAAGTCTGTAGCTATCAGGCAAGCTTGGAGTAAGAGCCTATAGCTCTTACTATTCAATTTAATTTCTTTTTATTCAGAGTATGTATTTCAACTTATCATTAACTGCTGGATGACAAGACAGACAAGGAAAAGGTCATTCATTAACACAGTGTTATCTGATTTAATTCAGTTAAAGTATTGATCACATCAATGGTAAATAAGTTAGATTCAGACAGCCATTGCTCCTCCAGGCTTATAAGCATTTTACTGTCATGTACTTGGCATTTTTCAAAAGGAAATATTTGCATTCCTTATTGTTATCAGAATTACAGTATTTCTCATGAAGTTATAATTTTTTGTTTATGCATGCTAATTTTGTAAATATTATGTAATCTAATGTATAACTGCAAATTAAATAATTGCTTCAGTGCTGATTGACGCAACAGATCCCCTGAAGCAAAGATCTTGCAATTACAAATTAAATTATTAGATAACTTTGAAGTGGCTTTAAAACCCCTATTTGTTTATGGAGATTGATAAGAAACTAGGTTCAAGCAGCAGGACAGAAAATGGAACAATATGAAAGGCAGGCAAGAACACCAAACAGCAAAAGTGCTTCTTCGATGATCAGGCTTATGTTTTGTGTTCTGCAGCTACCAAACAACCATTTAATAGCTGTCAATATGTTCAATTACTTATATTGACTTTTTTGTCTGGGTCTACATGCTGTTTGGGAAGAAAAAAACTGCAAAACCTAAAAGGTAGTATTGCACAGCCTAAAACCATAAAACTGTGTGATGATTTACCTTTTTAAATTCTGAATTTAATGTGGGAGCAATAAAATTTCTCAAAACTAGTCATGATGGTTAGTAGTGCCTTTTCTTATTTTAGCTAATATTGGGATTTCTTGCTTATATCAAGACCTTGCTATCTTATATCCAACTAATATCAAGATCTATTTGAAAAAAGTCAATCCAGTGGATAATGTCAGGGAAAAACTAGTTAAGATAACTCTTTCTCTATTAGGTAACTCACGAAGTACAATACCTGAAAGTATACTGTACTTTCTTTTTTTTAACAGGAATGCTTGAATTTCTGGACTACCAAGAGGTAAATTGCTACCAAAAATCATGTGTCTTCCTCTATAACTTTAGTTTAATCCTCATATATTCTTTCAGAGTATGTTACTGGATTGTCACATATTCCTCAGTATATTTCATAGACCTCAAAAAGGAAACACTGAGCTATCCATAGAGATGAATTTTAACCAAATTTGTACATTGTGATTAAGGGAGATAGGTAGCTCATTTTTTAAAGAATTATTTTCATTATATAGCTCAAGCTGCTATTTCCCCAGCTTTTGTATACTCTAAATAAAATTTTCCTTCACAGTATTTATTTTTCTTGATAAAGTTTGAAGGGAAGTAACAGGTTAAATTCCACTTTTCCTGACTAAGTAGCTCTATTTATTTTTACTGGTGTACAACAGAATAGTTCCACAAGCTGGAACTCTCATCTGTTCAAGAGGATAGAAAATGAGTTTTTCACTGCCCATTATTCTCCAGTTGTCATTTCTGTTTCATTATCTTCCTTTTTCTGTAAATTTGTTCCTCTGGTCAACTTTTCATTGTACTTTTGCTTTTAGTTTTTGTTATGTTCTTTCTCTTTGTAAATTCCTACTGAAGTTTTTCTTTTGCTATGGTACTATTCAGCTTGACATAAAAGCATGATCACGTGTTCCCAGTCCTTCAAATCTTGAGCTGTTGTCCTGAATCTTTTCTTATATAATTGTAACATGGCTTGGGCTTTCTTTTCAATTCAGCAAGATTTTGGGTTCTGTGTGTGACTCAGTAAGAAAAATAACGTCTTCATGAACTAACATTTTCATCCAGCACCTTGTGATTAATAGGTGCCTGTTTTTACCCTGTATTTTTTTAGGATAGAACTTAATAATCATTGACGTGGTTTTCTGTCTGTGTGATAACTTTTTATTACTGTCCTAATAATTTTGTCCCCCAGAGAATGATATCTTGAAGAAGTTGTTCAGGAATTTGACTGGGATTTAGTTGAAGAATTCCTCCTAGATGAGTAATGTTTCCTCAGCACCTGTTCTGATGACTCTGGTATTTGTCCCTGTGGACCGAGCAGAGATTATTCTCCTCCCTGAAACACATTTAGTAGGCACCCATCTTGTAATGTCACAGTCTGTTCTAATAAATAGCAAGGATCTTGAATTCACAAGTATCTGCTTCTCTCGTGATCTGAGAGAACTTTGTTCAAAATGTCAACTTCATATCATTAATCGTACATTATAAGATTCACAGATATTAACCTTAACTTACTGATTATTAACCCTACATTACTTTGAGGGGAAAGGAGGAATAATAAATCACTTACAAATGACACTGACAGTTACATGAAAATTTAAAAAAATAAGAAAGTAATTGATCTTATATTTAATAACCTTATTGACACATATAAATTAAATTCAACTGTGATATATGCAAGCCAAGGTCAAAGCAGATTAAGATGTAAATATATACCACATTAAGAGGAATTCAGTCATATTACTATCAATAATTCGGCTTACATTTGTCTTTCACCACATACCTTTATTGCAATAAACAAATTGTTCTAAATTCTTCCTTTTTCCTTTTAATGAATTGTGCACTGAAAGTTACATATTTCCCCAGTTATATTTATTGCTGAAAGTTATGCACCTTTTATTTTCTAGAAAAAAATCATCATGATGATAAGAGTTATTTGATATTAAATCAGTTGGCTTGCTTCTTTGCTTGGAACAATAAATTTAATTTTCTGAATAAACTTTTGTTTGTAATTTCTCATCGAAAACAAGTTATAAAGTTTGTAAGGATTCACAGAGAATTCTGTTTCATGCCTAATGGTCAAGAAGAGTAACTATAGGAAAAGTTTAATTACGAATATTATCAGGAAAAATCAAAATGAGGTCATATTCATAATTTTTTATCAATTTAGAGTTTTATCAAGTTAGATTTTCATCCAAATTTTCTTGAGCAATAAGATCTGGTATTTATTAAAGAAAATTTGTCTAAAGGAAGATTTAGAAACGAACAAAAGACTAGAAAATCTGGTTATATTCACTCTCCCTCTTCCCCAGGTGATAGTAGGAGTTTGAAATAAATGCTTAAATAAACAATTAATATCTCTAATGTGGACATTATTATAAGAATATCAATCTTGTATTAATCAGGCTAGTTCAAAATTATGCTAAAGACCATTGTTTATAGTCTTTCTGTTGGAATTTATTAAGGACTACAGACGAAAAAACCCCAAAACCTCTCCTGAGAAACTGCGACAACAGAATTACATTTCTGCCATATCACTTTTTTAGCATTTAATTTTCTTTTAAGAAATATTCCCAAAAGGGCATAGATCTAACTATAGAAAGTGCCCACTCAGACCCCAGCTGGAATTGAGTCTCAATAAATATAACAACATTGCAGACAACCCAATGCTTGCTAGTTGTTGTAAAACTGCCAGCCTGAAAATGACTGCATGCTACAATATGTGTTGTACTGACACTCTGAAGAACTGTTCAATGAGATGGGGGGAAATACTTTAGGTACGGTTTCTTTGCATTTGGCAGATTCTTACTATTACAATAAATTAATTTCTTAGTTTGACAGACCTTTCTCTTATTTCCCAGAGACATGTTTTAACAGTCATGTTAAAACTCTACATGATATCAGTATATGTTCAATATTTTCTGCAAATTCTTTATTAGTAATTGACATATTAAGCTAGCTTTTATTTCTTCGGTATATGAATATAAATGTTCATCCCACCATAATAAATAATTCAAACTGAACAGGCATTTATAAATGAACCACATTTAAAATCAAATTTATCAAGCACTACTGAAAAGTTTAATCTAGGAATCTCATTTGTTTTACAAGTGCCACAACCAAGGATTATAATTATTTTAAAAATATTTTAAATTTCACTGGCATTTTCAGAAGAAATATTGCAGGCAGAAGTACAGAAGACATTTTTTTACTCCAAGATAAAGTTTTTTAAAAATTAATTGTCTGTCTAAAGTGCGCACACTGTATTTAATAGTATAAATGAAACAGTTCAAAAACAGACAAACCCAAGGGTGAGTTATGTTTTTATCCTGAAATTACAAGCTCCATGCTTGGATTAGTTACAGTACATGTAGCCTACAGATAGAGTAACTCAGAGCTTATTAATACTCTGATAGTCATTTGTCTTTTAATTCCTGTTGCAGAATTTTAACAAGATAATTATGTTTTTCTCCACTTCTTCCTGTTAGCTGACTAACATCTTTAAGGAGAAGAAACTGTGGTCTTGATTCTACCCCAGAAAGCACTATACCATCACAATATTGTAATAAAATATATAACAGTTGTCTGATTAGGAGACAGTTGATTTGGTGCCATGGAGCAGAAATCACAGAACAACAGAGAACTACTGCATTTCCTTCCCCCTCCTCAACTACCGTATGAACAATTAAAAGACTGAAAAGGAAGGAATAATGTAGAAATTATAACAGTTGTATTTGCTTTGCTCTTACAGTGAACACAGATCACTTTCTTTTACTGGAATACAATGACTAGGAAAATATAAAAGATTCCTTTCTGTACATTAGTGACTGCATAAGCATCTGTAGGGCATAGGAGCTGCAATTCCCAGAACAGACAGTACACAGTAAAGTCCTAAACTGAGTTAATTGATGAACATCAAATGTAACATAGACACCTGAAAGTTGCCTAAAGGAAGATTGTTCTATATCTAGGTTACCTCTTTTGTGTGTCACTGCACTGCTGTTGTCCTTTTGCACACTTCTCACCATGAAAAATCAGAGAACTTGAACCTGCCCCTCACTGCTGCATCTACCCCACTTTGGCTGCATGTGAGTGTAAGGAAAGAAAGGGAGTGGCTGTGTGCAGTATTAAATTAACATAGGGCTCTGTAGTCTACTTGCAAGGTCATGAGAGTATAATCATTGTTTTAAGCATAACTCTGTGATTAAACAGAAGAGTAGTCTTGATTTTCTTTTATTCTTATCTATTGCACCCCTTGGTTTCTATGCCTGGACACTCAATTTCTCCTTTCTTACCTCCCTGCCTCTGTCCCCATCCATTTTACTCTACAGTTCTTCTAGTTCCATTCTTTCAGTTTCTTACATAGAAAAAATTTCTATTTTCACAAAACAGAGTGTGACTTTACCTTGCTATTACCTCATTGTTTTCCTCCTCACATCTGTTTTTGATCTGTATCTTGGGTGCACATTTCACTTGATGCTAGATCTTGATTATACAGCTGACTAAACTGTGTACTTTTGCAATCAATGCAAAGCTGCATGACAGATTACATTACTAAACTGAATAATGTCTATAATTATTTTTATTAAAAGTCTACTAAATAAAACAGGCTAGAAAAAGAACACAGCCAACAACACCAAAGTGCAATCAATCTCAAAAGTTTTGTTAAATTTAAAGAAGTAGAAACAGTTGCTGCTCCACTGTACCTGTGGCACAGCTTAGTAATAGGCTGTCTATTAAAAGCCTCTTCACCTAAACAGCTTGGAAGTGTGAAGTTTTAGGAGCAATAGGAGCCCTTCAAGAAGGTAGGAGAAAACCTTCCCCTCAGGTAGGGCAGGTAGCAGAATGGGATCAGGGAAGCACAAAACAAGTGTCATAACAAGGTCTGTATTTGAAGGGCTTCAGCTCTGCTAAAGTGCAGCAAGCTACATCAGCCTTGTGAAGTCCTTGTAGTGAAATGAAAAAAAGCAATTCTGCTATTGTTCAACCTCTCTGCTTCTTTATCCATATACTGCTCCTTTATGTATTAGGCTTTATAACTAAGTCTATTAATTATTAGATATACCATGAAACTGTTTTTGTTTATCTACAGAACATATTTTAGTTTAGCTACATTTTAAGTGCAACAGAAAAGTGCCACAGAACTTTCATAAGATGACATGTTGATGCCCCTTGATACAACCATAACAGAACCAACACATTTTTGAATCCCTGAAACTTTTCTCCCTTGCCCATCCCTGAACTCCACCTAGATCCAACCAGGCCAGAGTAAAATATAGACCA